GTGTTATGTTTTCAATGCTACACGCCCTGTATACCTTCATGACAACTATCCTTTGAAGCTGTATACACACCCTATATTCAATGTGTTTCTCAGCAACACCCTGTATACCCAATGTTCTCATTACAAATGTGTTCGCCTCTCGTTATCAATACCTTTCAACTTAATGTCAATTATTAAAATCGTAAATGCTGTTCAAAACTGTCAAAGCTTTCGAAAAAACAATAACCGACATACTTAACATCTTTGTTGACACACCCCGTATACCCAATGTTCTCTGAAGTCGTTATCAGCAACCAGCCGAGCAAACTTTATCGTAATATTCAACCATATCTACCAACCAGCCGCATTCACTTTCAATATCCCTCGCTAGCGACGAGATTATAGTCGAATACTACCACACAGACGTCCCGCGTTCGATACCCCAACGGAATTTTTTTTATGACGTAATATATTACCTACTATATCTAGTCTGTCTCGTTGAAGTGAGGCTTCTTCTACTCATACACGTTTTAAAAACAGTAAATTGATAGTTTGCCGTACTATTGTGAACGTTGTGAGTGTAGTTGAACCACAAGTATAATGCTAAATGAAACAATATACTGTGGTTGAACTAAATAAAGGTTCATATCCCAATCTCGTTCATATATCTGGCAACATAGCATGTGCTCGTTACATTTCTTCATTTAAATAAAATTCACTTTCATAAGGTTTCAAGTATGTATTTTGTAATGATTCAAAACCGGTGTTGAAATGAGTAGAAATTCAAGATACCTGATATATTCACAATACCAACCTCGACAAAGTTTGGTGAACAATTACCAGTCGACATGAATTAACTCGATGTATGATGTATTTTATTATATGTAAATCATTCAATTTGAAATTGAAATAATTTATACCGTGAACTATCTGGTAATGAACCATTTCTCAGTATGAAAAATTAGAATATAATGTGTGGGTACCAGATGTTCATTCCTAATAATGCCGCGCCTAGTGGAGTAGTTAATTCAAATGTGTAAAATTCCTAAATGATTTCAAATCCATTAATTGTTGATTACAAAAAAAATTGAATAACACTTATGTCTCACAGATAACTATAGTCAATTTCCTTAAGCTGCGGAGTAATAAATCAGTTTCAAGTGGCTATTCCACAGGCGTACATAAATGAGTCGGGTAAAAAAATGAATGCAATATTTATTTTAAACATCCAACTTTGTATGTTTTGATATAACAAATATCGAAACTTAAAATACTTTATATGAAAATCATTTCGCAACGTATCACATACCTGTACAGTTTACCTGATTGAAACAGGCATAAATCGATATATAGATTCTACAATGAGAGAAAAAATTAAGCTGTGAAATCTCCAAAACCTTGTTCAGGAAAAAAAAACTGTGAGCCAATCCTGAAAGATCCTGCCAGAATGCTTAACAGAAACAGGCATAAATCGATATATAGATTCTACAATGAGAGAAAAAATTAAGCTGTGAAATCTCCAAAACCTTGTTCAGGAAAAAAAACTGTGAGCCAATCCTGAAAGATCCTGCCAGAATGCCTAACTAATCTTAATGAACTAAAGTCTATGGAATGGTTTAGTTGCGAAATATGATGGGCGATTGATGATTTTTCTGGTCTTCCATATATCAGGTGTGCTAAGTGTTCCACATATCTTATTTTAATAGATATTTTTGTCTATCCATAATATTTTGCATTGTATTGCATATAATTTCGTAAATTTCAGACTTTTCCAAATTCTCGACTTTGTCCTCTGGATTTCCTAATAAAAGGCTCTGTAGATGACTTGTTTCAGATGCAACCTTCATACCTAGTTTCTTGAAAATATTTCCAAAGTATATTGGTGGTATGGAACTGAGATATATTTATCTTGGTTTTCCTCGTTTCTAAAAGTCGAAATTTCGTTCATTCTTAACCTAAACTTTTTCTTCATAATAATATCTTCTACAATACTCCTCGAGAATCCGTTACTGACTGCTATTTCCTGTTTTGTCCGTTTTTCTTTTGTGATCCTCTCATGTGTGAGAGGAAAAATCAAAAGACAATGCACTAGAAAATTCAGCCCAGCACGTTTGTTATGTCCACATTGATGTGAACTGTCAGAAATATACCTGTAAGTGATGTCGTATTCTAGCTAGAATACGATGTATTTAGACACTACGGACGCAGGTACCTAGCAGAGATATCTATGGTATAAATAAGGATAACATTAAACGTATATTTAGTTTAATCTTCCTCTCGAAGATGATCACTTGGTGATCGAAACACGTGTCGAAGTGTTAAAATAACGGTTTGGTGTTGGAATAAAACTCCAGTAATATTCATTACTACACCAAATATTCCAAACAGTGCATCACAAGTGCTTTATATCTATATAACATTAGCACAGCTAAATATAAAACAGCTAAAATATAAATATTTTATCATTTATGTTAAACAGTATTTTATTATTTTCATTTTTGAATAATAATTCATCTATGAAAGTAAAGTTAAAATTATAAGAGGTCGACGGAACTTGCTTTATACACCCCCACCAAATGATAGCCCTATCCATATAAAATAGTCCACAATGGTCCACAATTTCACAACAATCGACAGTGTTCTGGAATGTTTCACGATGATCTGGTATGTTCCAAATGTTTTAGACTGTTCCCGAACATTTCACAACATTCCGGAAAGTTCAAGGGTGTTCTAGAATACTCTTGAATGTTCTGGACTGTTCTAGAAATCTCTAGAGGGTGAAATTTACTGTCCTCAAGCACGCTCTTCAGGTGAAAAAGGGAATCTGGATGGGGGTTAAGTGGGTTATCACACCATATAACTCCTATGATCGCACCGGAACTCGTTTCAGAGATTTAGCGGCACGTACATAATTATATACTTTATTAATTCGAAAATTTTTGCACAAATTGTTGATAATTCAATAGCATGATTATGATAAGTTATGAACGGTAGTTGAGGAAGAACGAGTGTTTCCAAAACAAAGTTGTTCTGAAAGAAATTTTTTCAAAAGCTCATATACAAGTTATGAATTATTTGAATTGAAGGGGTTATATTTTTAGGAGTGATTAATTTTTTGGGAAAGAAAGTTTTTGTCTTTCTACTACTCCATCTGATACAAAAAAAAAGGGATGAGAGAATCTTCCAAAGAAAAGAAGGAAGTAATCAATTTGAAACTCTATACATGAATGTGTAGATCATAGAATAAGTAGGACAAAAACTTTCTGTACTATTTTGAGTTAACGGGAAAGTATATAATTATCGAAATAACCTTGTAGAAAAATACTTCGGGAATTTGCTATCTTAATATTGTAGACCGATAAAAGAGCTGAGACCATAGCAAAATTAAAAACTATCAGAAGTTTGGACGACTTTTTATATAACAGCAATTAAAAGTACATTAAAGAATGTGAGAACCGCTGAAGTGTAGATACCAAATTAAAAGTAGTTGCAGCAAATTTTTTTCTGTTCTGGATTGCTGATTATTTAATGAAAAATAATTATGACATTAATCATTGATCCTTGACAATTTGTACGAACTAATTGTTTAAATTGTTTCCACTGATATTTTACCTTTCTAATGACCCGAATCCAAAGAAACCAATTCTTTTGCGTTTCAGAATTTATTACAACAATGCATCGAGAAAATAGTATGTACGTGTATATTATTGATAACAAGACTAATCCTTATCAGAAACTGGCAGCCATGAATGTATTCATTACATTTTTTTTTTATGTAATAGAGGAAAACAAGATTTCGAATGCGTCTGTTTCATATTATACAGTCATAGACTAAACCCTCAGAAGTCTCAAGTTTTTGACCGAATAAAAAAATGAACCATACTAGACTTGCCTAACTGACAATTTTTTAAATATAACCGAACACATGAGTAGATTTTTTTAATGAGATCCGTCGAGTTGGTAGTTCAAACTTTTTACACGCTTTATATTAGCTTCACCTGTATGTATGTATGTTTGTAACTCTCCTTTTCATTTCATATCGGGATGTGTATTTGACAGAATTATCGACATTATTGCTTGATCTATTCGCGGGCAGATGGCGCTGTACGTAGCCTCCTTGATCTGATCTTTATTTGAAAAAAACTATTTTTTCAATTAACATAAACCCGCTTTCATTAGCTTCACCTGTATGTTTGTATGTTTTTTGTTTGTTCGTAGAGTCTCAAGCTCGGGATCTATATTTGATAGAATTATCTACATTGTTGCTTGATCTATTCGCGGACAAATGCCGCTGTACGTAACCTTGATATATCGACATTATTGCTTCATGTATTCGCGGGCAGATGGCGTTGTACGTAACCTCCTTGATATATCGAAATTATTGCTTGATCTATTCGCGGGCAGATGGCGCTGTACGTAACCTCCTTGATATAATTCGAACTCACTTTACATATGTATTTCTTCATTTGAAAAAAGTATTTTTTTATTAACACGTGCACCTGCTGCCTTATTTGTAATTCGATGTTCTTTGAAAGTGTGTTTTTTAGTTTTCTGAACTGTATTTATCATTTATGTACCCATAAGACTGATGATTATGATTTACGAGAGCAACTGGGAAAAATTTGAAAAGCGAATTTTTACTTTAGTCATGCCAAGCCACATGTCTATAATTTTCCATTTACCTCATACATTCCAAGAACTGAAAAATTCAGACTGACGTTTTCATCACATCAGAAAATGTTATAATTAACAGTAAATCCCTAAAATCGTTTCCATGTAATGAAATCAATGAAATATTGTAAACATAATTTTCAGTATTGTCAAAATGTCAAAGTCGAATTAAAAAAAAATTTAATTGAATTATAATTTCGGGTAAATTTTAAAAATGGCCCAAAGACTGAAGAAGGCGGCTTCTTTAACAACCGAAGAAAAAACTACTCGCCGAGCGAGAGCCCTTCTAAGATTTCGGGCAGTGGTGAGATTAGTCATCGCCAATATGTATTGGTTGGGAGACTCCGATGAGTCTAAAATAGGGGACAATGTCTTAAAAAATATTCAGATTCTCACGAGGAAGAAAGTGAGGAAGAGCTCTTTAACAATAGGAGAGAAATCAATATTGTGTAAACCGAAAGAAGATAGAACCGAAGAGGAAAAACAACTTCTAAGCAAAGTTATTGGTGGGATGAAATGCTTCAGAAGGTACCCACCGAACGTGAAGAGCCAACTGGCAGCAGTGACTTATTTCGTCTACTATGGCCCAGGTAGGCAAATCGTTAAACAGGATCATGCTCCTTCAGCAATGTACTTCATGCTGTCTGGAGAAGCTAGCGTTACTGTACGCCATTACGACAAATTCCTGAAGGAGTGGATTGAAGAAGACTCGGGTACATTAGGACCAGGTACAATGTTTGGGGAGGTAGCTCTAATTCATGGCATAGTAAGATTGGCCACAATTACAACCCTTACGCCTTGTGAACTGCTAATGATAAAAAAGGAAGATTTCGATACTGTACTGAAAGAAACAGTTCTGAAAGCTTGGATTGAGATTCAAAAAATCATGAACCGATTTTCCTACTTCAAAAACTGGGACTCGGTGACGAAAAGAGAATGCAGTATCATGTCACGAGTCAAATCTTTTGCAGTTGATGAAACCCTTTTGGGAGATGATGCTGGTTTACCATCGTACGTTTATTTCATAACAAAAGGAACGTGTTGCATTATTGAGCACCTGATGGTATGGGTATGCAAAGAAAAAGGCATAGAAAAATATCATCTTCACCATTCACGGCATGAAGAGGAAACTCGTGAAGAAGAGGATAAAGTTAGCCAGATTTTCCAAAAATATCTTCAGGATTATACAGGAAGTGTATATGCTGAAAGTCCAGGCTTTGGGATCCTGGATTTAGAAGGTCTCGTTGAAAGCGCACATGATTTGCCGGTAACAGAACCAACTCAACATAAAATTGCCGCAGAAAGTGTTGTTCCTTCGAACTGCCGATCAGAAATTCATTTTATTAAAATTTGCGAACTAACGGAAGGGGCCTGTTTCAACATTGGAGAAGATTTCGTTAGGAGACGTGTTGTGGCAATAACTCCAACAAACTGTCTATTAGTTCCGCGTTACTGGATAATGAAAAACAACATAGACAATATATGGAACAGAGTTCAACAATTCTTGAACAAAAACATACCGACAACGAAACAAATATATAACACCTTTATACAAAAGCAGAAATTCAAAAGATATAGAAAAAGACTCATTAAAGATTTACTAGCCGAAAAACGAGTGGCAAACAGTAATTCTATACACAATGTTCCTTACAGCATTCGTTTGAAAGACGGATTTGATGTGAACTATTCATAAACATTCATTATATCTTACATCAATTTTGAATTTTTTTCATTCACATTTTCAATTTTTGTTAAACTATTTTAGCTACTGAAAATAGGTAATCAAAAACAAAATTTCTTATTATGCGATAACTATAGGACTATCACAAAAAATAATCAAAAATGACGTTAAAACGTAAAAACTGTAAAGACATTTTTTTTTCTTCGACCTAGAGGAGTAGTGTAATATAAAAACAACAATGTTTATTTTCTATTTGACATAATATAAGTATTAAAATAGTCAGGATGTAAAAAAACGAAGAATCGAAACTTTAAACCCTCAGAAGTCTCAAGTTTTTGACCGAATAAAAAAATGAACCATACTAGACTTGCCTAACTGACAATTTTTTAAATGTAACCGAACACATGAGTAGATTTTTTTAATGAGATCCGTCGAGTTGGTAGTTCAAACTTTTTACACGCTTTATATTAGCTTCACCTGTATGTATGTATGTTTGTAACTCTCCTTTTCATTTCATATCGGGATCTGTA